AAGTGACGGGCGATCAAGTCCAAACGAGCGAATTCGATGGGGTGAGTTTAAGGTGAATATGTGGCTTACACATGAGGTCCGAAGAGGAATATCCATGCGGGTGAGCACTGAGCAACCAGTTCTTAATTGGCACGCTATGTTCTGAACATCGGGTATGTCGGGCAGCCCCTCCACAGGATGTCCAGGGTGCGCGCACGGGAGGAGGGGGGAGGGGGAAGGTGGAAGGGGGAGGAGGGACAAAGAGAATGCAGGAGTGAGAAGGGAGGCTGGGGGAGGAGGGGGAGGGGGGAGGAGGTGAGGGGGAGGGAAGGAGGAGTGGACGACGGAGGGCGGAGGGAGCAGGGAAAGAGGAGCTCGGCTGCGGGCAGGCCTCCCCGATCGGCGTTGAGAGCGCACTGCTCCAGTGCCCCGAGCGACTGGGGGCCAGGGGTCGGCCCCTGCGAGCGAGGACGGCTGGCCTGCAGACATCGTGCGATCTCGGGGCAGGACAAAGAAGCCGCAGAGGGTCAGAGGAGGAGAAGGTACGGGTGCCGCTACCGTTCCGTCGTTGTGCTTTGCTGAGCCTCCTGGGAGGCCCTCGTCGCCAGTCAGAGCGCACACGGGGGGACAGGTCTGGGGAGGAGCGGTATCGGTATTTCTGGGTTTCCCCAAGGAGGGGCCCATCGATTTGCACGCTTCCTCGCGGTAAGGTCGCGGCGTTTCGGCGCGGCGGCGACGCTGGCGTTGGCGTCCAAGTTTGAGGACCCACGTGTGGCAGACCACGCCGCGAAATCCATACAGAGATGGCGTGGACAATTTCTGGAACTTCCAAGAGCAGAGATCGTTCAAGGTTCAACGTGTCTTCGGGGTGTCAGAAACCAGGGCCATTGTGTTAAGGGGTGGCTTGTTGTTGCTGCATGACGACTCCAGACCCGTCTTCCTGAGTTGCACCAGTTTGTTGAGCGGGGTCATTTCGAGTAGCACCCATTGTCGCCATGTGGGCATAGCGTTTTGTCGCAATGCAGCTAACCACGCCCCCACCCCAAGGAATTCCCCAACTGTTGTCTAAATAGTTGATCGGGCTCCGAACGGACCTGTCCGAGCCTCCCGCAGCGTCCTCGGCACTGCGTGACCAGGACCCTCTCAGGGCCCTCTGGTAAAAAAAACCCAGGTCGGCGGTGTCGTTGGTGTCAGTCCTTTTCAGACCTCCCAAGGGGGCGGACGGAACCCAATCTACTTTCAACGCCTTCCTACGTCATGCTTCTACCTACTTCTTCCGACCGATGGGTAGTTTCTGTGGTCGCTCGTGTTGGCGGGGTGTGGGTTCTCTGGTGTCGGTGGGGTATCTGGTGCCTCGCGGGGTCTGTGGTGTCAAGCGTCTTGTGCGGCACGCGCCGTGTTGCATGCATCCGTGGTGTCTTCGGTGTCGGCAGGGTCTGTCGGCCCTTCTCCGGTGTCTTCGGGCACCTCAGACACCCTCGTGCGCCCTGGGCAGAGCACAGGCATCCGCGCTCCCCCCCTCGCTCGCTCTCCTTTCCCCTTTTCCTCACCGTCCTCTCCTCCCTTCCTCTGGCCACGGGGCTCCTCGCTGTCAGATGCAACATATTCGGGCCCCAGAGGGGAAACGAGTATCAGTGTCATGCCGCCGTTGGGAGCTGGTCCGCGTGTCATTCCTTCGTGGGTGTTCGGCGGCCGGGTGCTTCTTACGCAGTGAGAGGCCGACGCCTTCCCCACGGCGGCGTATTATTGGTATTGCTTCGACGATGCGGCGCGATCCTCCGACGCCATCTACTCGGACCTCACCTGGGAGGCCCCCAGGCCTTATGAGTATGATTTGCAGTTCGAGGCGGCGGACAATCACCGCAGACCCCTCGCTGCGTAGAAGCTCAGGCTCTCGGCGGGCCCCGCGGACTCTTCACTACCCTTCGCCTCGTTTCCCCCTTCTTCGGGCCTCCTGGGAGGCCCTCGTCGCCACCGCTGGATTCGCCTCGAAATCAGGGTCCGAACGCTCCCCAGGAGAGGTCCGGGGAGTGACGGTATCGGTACCGTCTCTGCTTCCCCAGGAGCCATGGGCCACCGCCACCGAGGACCCCTCGCGTAGGGGGCCTGGGCGGTGGCACGCCCGAGCGCCGCCCAGCACAGGACGGCGCGAGTCAGGCCTGAAGCGCGGGCTGCGCACGCGCAGCCTCCCGCGCCCCGCTCGGGCGGCGAGGTCCAGACGTGTCTGCCGCGGGTGCCCAGCTCCCCCTCGGGCCCAGGAGGGCGCCGCCGCCTCCCTGGCCACGCCAGGGGAGCGCAGGTACCCCTCGTGGGCCCAGGATGGACCTGGCCAGCAGCGGTGGGCGTATGTCGATCTCGTGGCCCCTGCCCGCGGTCGCCGGCCTGGCGTCTCCGTGGGAGAGGCGAAGCCGCGCGGCACGCCCGCGAGGGGCGGCGACGCCCGCTGGATGTCTGGCTCGCGGGTGTCCCTCGCAGAGATTGCCCGGCACTGTCACTCGGCTCGGTACGATCCGGGCTGGGTTCGGAGAGAACGGGTGCGATCACCGATCTGCACGAGCGAAATGGGTATGGAGAAAAATGGGGGTACGATGCCCAACAGCACTTCTTGCTCATTTTGAAGAAGACTCGCTGTCCGCGCCTCCGCGGACGCTGCCCACGTGAGGCACAAGGCCGCCTGTCCAACAGCGGCCGCCGGCATGGTGGCTCCGCGGGAGAGGCGAACCCGCGCGCCCCGCTCCGTCGACGAGGTCTAGACACGTGGCCTCCCCAGAGACGGCTGCGGCTCGCTCGTCTCGCAGCCTTTCGTGGGAGTAAGGCGGAGGCAAGCCTCGGGCCGCCCGCCTGCAGAATGCAGAAAAAACCGCCCGCGCCTCCTCCTTCTCCTCATCTACCTCCTCGTCCTCCTGCTCCTCCTCGTCGTCGTCCTCCTCCTTCTCCTTCGCACGCCTTGGCAGGCCGCGGGATCTTGTTTGTGCTCGATCCCCGGTCCTGCTTCCATATGTTTACGCAGGGAGGCCTGAAGGTCCCAAGCGGTAGGTAGGGCTGCTGCTGCTGCTGCGGCGGATCATCTCCCCAGTGCCTTGTCCTTGTATTCCTCCTCCTCCTCCTCCTCCTCCATTCCTTTTCCTTATAACTAACTTATCCCTGTCGCACCCCGAGGCCAGTTTTTAGGGCGGGTCGGGAGCTTCGCCTGAGACTTCCTCGTCACTTGTGACCCTGAAGCGTAAACATGGACAACAGCTTCACAAATGGAGGGCGGGTGATTTTCAAAATGTGGCTCTGGCTTTAGCGCCTCGCAGGATCTTTTTTTGTTGTTTTTAATGTAGGAGCTTCACGGATTGAGGGCGATTGGATTTCAAAATGTGGATCTCGCCTTAGTGCCGCGCACCATTATTGCAAACAATTGTAAGAGCTTTGCGGATTGAGGGCGGGTCGTTTTCAAGATGTGATTATCGCTTTGGCGCCGCGCGCTTTCGTTTATCAAAATTGCAAGAGGTTCACGGATTGACGGCGGGTCATTTTCAAAATGGGATCTCGTCTCAGCGCCGCGCACATTCGTTTCAAAATTGCAGGAGTTTCGCGGAGTGAGGGCGGGTGGTTATCAACATGTGGTTCTCGCCTTAGCGTTGCGCACATTCGTTTTCAAGAGTTGCACGGAATGAGGGCGGCTTCTTATGTGGTTCTTGTTTTAGCGCCGCGCGCATTCGTTTTAAGAATTTGCCAGAGTTCTGCGGATTCCCATGGCCAGCGTACCAGAAATGGTTTGTTGGAAGAATTGAGGCGCAGCAGTTGCGTTGGTTCGCGGTGTTGGAGTCCCAGGGATGGCGTTCTGGCACGATTCAGGATCGTCAAGACGTAACAGTGAGATTGATCCGTGGCGTTGGAATCCCGAGAATAATGCTTAGGCATGCTTCAGGATCTTCTTCAAATATATGTTTTCCATCGAGGCAGTTCCCTCAGTGGAAATTAACCATTGTAGGGGCCTGTGAAGAGAGAGCTTGGAGGGAGGGTTTATTCCAACATTGTTGAAGACTCTTGGGTTTGCACTGGTCCTCCTCCTCCTCCTTCTCCGCACGTTGGGGCCTGGCGCAGACCTACATGCCTCCGCGAAGCTTGACGCATGTTTTTCCCGCGCCGCGTCGGCACCCCCAGAGCCCAAAATGTCAATGTAGATGCAGTAACACACGACTTGATTTGTTCCGTCGGCGTTCGCAGACCGCGCCGCGCGCGCAACTGAGCATTGGAATTTGGGGCGCAGAGGTGTTGGGACAACTTGCGCTAAGTTTCGCGGAGGGTTGTAAGAAATCCGTTCGGACCGTCGAACGTTTCTGTGTACGGTAGGTTCATGCGGCGTTGGTGCGCCAGCGACGATGTCATATGTTTCCTAAGTATGACTACGGTCGGACCGAGGTATCATATCGAGGTTTGTTCTGGCAGGGTGCCCTAACGTTCTGCGTGATTGCTGGACGTTCTTTTGCATCTTGGGGAAGGGTACCCTCGAATGCTCTTCAGTTTGGTCTGCGGAAGGGCCTCATTTTCTCGGAGGTGTCATTATGTCCTAGGTGTGGCCGTACTGATTCGAAGGGCAGCCTGTCGCTTTGAATGAGGACCCCTTTGGGCTCAGGAGGGGGTCTGTTCTCCGGGCCGTTCCCTGGGCCCACGGCGGGGAAGCCGTTCTGTGACCGTGGCCCGCCGTGGTCGGAACGGCGGCTTCGATCCTTCAGCGTTCTCTCATGGCAGTTCGTTGATCCGGAGGAGAGAAAAACACAGACACAATTGACTGTCGATTGCCAAGAAAATATGGGAAAATCTGGGAAGTGGGGGGGAAGGCAAAACCCAGAAAGTATGGGGAAGTAGGGGGAATCATGTTATTTGTGTCAATTTATTTGTGTGTCCCAGGCCCCCCTCAAGTTCGATAATCAAGCGGATGCGAAGTACCTGGTAACCAGCAGCTGATGGACGAAGAAAGCCTGATAGCAGTCTTTGTTACCATGTGCACTTGCTGTACTGATGCGAAGCAGTTGGCTGCCAGGTTTCGGCTCGGATGCTCGGATGCGGCGCCCCGCGGAGCAGAGGCGGCCGCCTCGAACCCGCGGCCGGCCCGAGCCCGCGGCGCGGACCGCCGGCGACGCGGCACGATGCTGTCGCCCTATGACATGTTGCAGGATCCCAGCGGGCATCCCTCCCTCCAGCCTTCTCCCTCTGGAGACGAACGAAACTGCATGAACATAAATGTTCGGCGCTCCGCGCGGATTTCTCGGATCGCGCTCCGCGCGCCGAGGTGGGCGTCCAGCTCACATCCAAGAAGTCCAGGCGGACCAGCAAAAGTTTCTGCTTGTGCCGTCGTTTGTTCCTGTCTCCCTCGTGCCGCCTTCTCCCCAGACCTAGCCCGGCGCAAGTTCGCTCTGTCGCGTGCTCGATGACAAGCGCTGGGGTGCGGTACCCAGTCGCCTCTGCTGCCCCCCCGCCTGCGCGTTTCGCGCCTCCCTCTCTCCGTGCCCCGGTCCTCCCCGCCCGGGGGCGCGAAGTGACCCTCCCGAAATCTGGGTCTGGGGCAGCTCGTCCGCGGGTTCGTGAAGACTTCCAGGGCTTCCACTGCTGGCACCGCAGGGCGGCAGCTCTGCGCTGTGCTCGGCCTTTGGCGGCCCCCTCGGGCCCCTGGGCCGCCCCGCAAAGGGGCTTGGGCTGAAGACGCGTCCCAGGGAAGGGGTCGATGCCTCGTGGGCTCGCCGCTGCGAACCAAAAAGAGGGCGATAGCTCTGTGCCGTGCTCGGCTTCTGGGGGCCGTCCTCGGGTCTCTGGGCCGCGGCTCGGGATGCTGACCCGTCCGGGGGAAGGGGTCGAGGCTCGGGCCTGACGAAAGGGTGGGGGTACAGTGGGGGCCCATGCCAAGAAACACCCTGCGTGCCTCCAGGGTGCCCTGGGTTTCTTGGTTTTCGATGGTTTTCCCGTGGAAGACGTGACGTACGTTCCCACACCAAGAATCGATGGACGTCCTGGGGTCGCAGGGTTGGGTTTCTTGTGGAAGGTTTCTTGTGGTCGGGCCCCTATTGTAGGGAAAGGGTGTGTGTGTGTGTGTGTGTGTGCGAAGTCTGCTGCAGGCAGCTGGTGTCGGCCCCGCCGCCGGGCCCATTCCTAGATGCATGTGCGCCGCGCGGCGCCAAGAAAACCAGCTACGTGAGCTGATTCTCTGCCCTGCCCTCTGCTATCCTACCTGTTCGCCCCCCCCGGAGATGAGCAGGTGGGCTCGCTGCAGCCTTTCCCCTGGCCAAGGCCCCACCCTGCTGGCGCCTGCTTCTGTGGCTGCCCTTTGCTACCCTTCCGTCCCCCCCGAGGGGGGTCGAGACCTCGGGGGCTCGCCGCCGCGAAAGAGAGCACGCGGCGTCGGAGGAGTCATGGGCCCGCCGCCTCCCCTGCCCCCGTCCCCTCCTGCCTCTTGTCGGGTTTGCCCCTCCCCTCCTCTCCCTTCCCCCTCCCTTCCCCTCCCCTGCCCTTGCCCTCCCTTCCCCTCCCCTCCCCTCCCCTCCATTGCCCTCCCCTCCCCCCCCTTCCCTTCCCCCTCCCTTCCTCTGCCCTCCCTTCCCCTCCCCTCCCTTCCCCTCCCCCTTCCCCTCCCTCCCCCTCCCTTCCCCTCCCCTCCCTTTCCCTCCCCATCCCTTCCTCCCTTCCCCCCCCCTCCCTTCCCTTCCCCCTCCCCTTCCCCTCCCCATCCCCTCCTGCCTCCCTTCTCCCTTCCCTTCCCTCGAGTTCGCCGGAACTCGGGCCTGCCGACGCTTTCTGGCGAGCCTGTTCTTGATTTTGGCGGTCCAGGTTTTCTCCAAGAGCAGACAAGGCGTGTACATGATTTTCCAGAGCTCCGCGCGGACCGTCGACAGTTTCTGTTTATGCCTATGTGGTAATTCCTCTTATTGCCGCCGACGCTTTTTGACGAGCCCGTCCTGGATTTAGACGGTCCAGGTTTCGCGGGATGACTGCAGCGGGAGCTCGCGTCAGATTTGAGATCGGGTCTCGTCGTTTTCTTGACGGCTTCGCCAGGACAACCCGAGCCCCCCGAACCCGAGTCTTACGTCTCCCTGATCTTGGCGTCATAATGTTTTTGGTTTTCCGGAGAGGGTCAGCCACGCGCAGAGAGGGGTAAGGCAAGCGAGGTGCGCTAGCGCCACCTGACGTCCTACCCCTCCCTCATGGCGAAGGTGTCCGATCTATTCGCACAGTCCGATGTCGAGCAGGGTCATGGTCCCAAGAGGGTACGCGATGGATGCAAAAGCATGGCGTAGACGATCACGGCAGAGCATAGCATGTCATAGCATGGCGCGGCATCGTATTGAAGTATTGCATTACAAAGCATGGCAACGCAAAGCATGGCATCGCACAGCGGTGCACAACACAGCATCGCATTGCATGCCGTGGCATGGTAGTGGATGAAATAGAGAGTGTGTGGCCCGAATACGAGAGGACAGGGTCTGTACGGAGTGCCGGCCCCATCTGTACGTAATTCCGGCTCCATGTCCCCCGCAACCATGCTTGCCTGATGTGGGCGCTTTCGAATTCCAAGTGCCGTCCTGAGGCGCAGGAACGATGCCAGCGCTGCAGCGGGAGCACGATTCTGAATGACCGAAGCGCGGAAATGAGGGCGGCGTTGCAGCGAGGGCAACATTTTGGAAGCACCAGAAACGACCCGATTGAATACAACACAGGGAGGACAAATCAGATAATGAAATCCGGTGTGTAACATGCACTGCGCGGAGAGGACGGGAGATTCTCCGGACAGAGTCAGGGGAGAGAGGAGATTGGTGTTCATGCAGTGTAATTGTGGAAAGGGGGCATGCTTCTTAGAGGCACCCTGCACCCTGCTTCTTAGAAGGCGCGGGCCGCCTCTACGGGCGTAAGGCCCGCACCTTTGAAGAAGCCGCCTCCCAACAAGCCTTCACCCCTCCCCCTACCCCCTTCTGCGCGAGTCTGCGCTGAGCCCGCGACGGGAGGTTTCACCCCCTTGCCTTATGATGTTCCAACCTACTTTGGCCTCGAGCACCAGAAAGAATTTCGAGCACCAAGAAAGTACCTAAACTGGAGGGCCTTCGCGCGTCGGGCCCTGGGAGGCGATACCCGCTCGAAACTGTTTCGATACTTGTCTGGATGCTCGAATTTTGTTTCTGGGGTGCGGTCCTTGAGTAGGATAGGAGCAACATGACCCTTTCCCCGTCCTCTTCCCCGCCCCCTCGTGCGCTCCGCAGGAGGTCCAAAAGCCCCCCCCTGCCTCCTCCTTCCCCCTGCCTCCTCGCCCCTGCCCCTGCCCCTCCTGGGGCTTCCTCGCACCTCCCCCTCGTCTTCCCGTCCTCCTTGGCCTCTCCTTCCCCTCCTTGCCTCCTTCGCCTCTCCCCTCCTCGTCCTCCCCTTCCTTTCCACGGGCCCCAGACCGCCACCCCGGAATCCGCCGGTTCTCTCCCCCTGCCGCCTCCCGGCCGCGCCGGCTCCCGGCGGCGCATGTCCGAGCGCCCTGTCCAGGTCGGCCTGGTGCACCGTGGCCGTGGCCATGTGAGGGCATACGGCTGGTGCGTGGAGGGCGCCGCCGTCCCGGACGCCCGGCGCCTCGAAGAGATCGAGGCGGCCGCTCGTTCTCCGCCTTCGGCCTCTGGCGGCCAGCTGCGGGCCCCAGGACCTCTCGAGCGCGACTCGGGACGGCACAGCCGGGGCCGGGGAAGCGGTGGGAGAGAGGTCGGGGCGCCCAGCGCCCGTGTCTTGAGGAGCGCGGGGCGCCGTGCGTCTGGGTTGGTCGGGCTTCTCCCTCCGACCCCCCGCGCCCAGCTTGTGGATCGGGCCGGACGGGAGGGGGAGATCGGGAAGGGGGGGGGTACGAAATTCGCTGCATGCAGCAGGGTTCGGCCTCACCGAGGGGCCCATTCCTCGATACATGGGCGCCTCCGGCGCCGGGAGGCGCTAGGAAAATCAGCTGCGTGAGCTGATTCTCAGACCCCCACTTTGCTATCCGCCCCTTTCGCCCGACCCGATTGGACCTCCTGGCTGACGGGGCAAGCAAGCATGCGGAACGCTACGCCGGCCTTTTCACAACGACAGTGCGGCGCAGCAGCGTCGACGCTCCCAGGGCCCAGACGTCACGGCTGGCCCCGGCGAGTGGGCAACATCGGCGTCCCCCCCGACGAGGACGAGGACGTTAAGCAGCTTGCTGCTGCGCCTCGCAGGGGCGACCAGCTCCAGCGGGCCGTCGACGCGCAGCGAGCCTGGAGCTGTGTGAACGCCACGTGCAGGCCGAAGCGAACCCGCCGCTGTGGCGACCAGAATCAATAGCAACAGTAGGGGGGATAGGCCCAGGGGGGATTGCATCGACCCGCAGTCACCCCCTCATCGCCGACGGGTGCCCGATAGCCCAGCCCGCCCAGCAGCGTTCGGTTTCTCAGTCGAGAGCCTCTCGCCGATCTATTGGCCCGACGGCTGGCCATCTGGGCCGATCACCACCTGCACTACTGCCGCACCCCTCCCAGTCCTCCGCTCGCACGCCTCCGCGCACGAGCGCCCAACTGCGGGACCCGCCGCATCGCGTTCCGCGGCCGCGTCCCGCCCCTTTCCCCGACACCTGGAGCAGGTCTGCGTCGTGGCCTGGGCCATAACGGGCGTTATGGCCCTCCACCTCCATCTTCCATACCTTCCGACATCTGCGGAAGGCGCGGAAGATGATGCATCGAAACTATTGAAAGCCTCGGGAAGCGCACGAAAACTCAGCGTTTCACGAAGCGCCATAGTGTGGAAGGTCAGCACGGAAGGTCAGGAAGAATGAGGGCGAGGGTGGACCTTCCTTTCCCCACCACTCAGCGCAACGAGCTCCCGCGTTCGCGGTCGTGGCGGCTGCGCGTTGCTTGCAGGCCACCGTTGCATTCGCAGGTTGGACGGCGATGTCTCAGTCTGGCGCGAGGGTGGCGGGCGGCGGTGGCGGCTGGGGGCGTCGGCGGAGAGAACCACGTCGCCGGGGCAGGTCGCGTTCGAGATGCTCGTTGGTCGGGGGTGGCGCGCGCATGCGGCAGGGGGCTCGCGCGCGCGCGACGCGTGGGGGAGAGACGTGGTGGTGGAGGAGCGGGGGAGCGGTGATGGAGGGAGAGGGCCAGGGGTGGCCAGTTAATGTGCTCGCAGGCTTCTGTGGCGTTCGCAGGCTACCCCTCCCTTTGGCTACGTACCCCTCCCCTCCCTTTGCGGTCCACCTTTCCTTGTCCGCCTCGCCCATGCTTCCAACCCATCCCCGCGTGGGCGTTTGATGGATGTCGGCCCCCAGCTTCACCAGGAGACCGCATCTGCCACGCTACAGGGCGCAACGACCTTGTGGAGGCCTGGTGGTTGTGATCGGTTTCCCTGGTTCATCCTCCCCCTCTTCCGACTCGCTTTAGGAGCCCACCGGCAACCGCCTAACCCCTCGTGTTTCTCTAGAGCCACGGAGCGCAGTCTAACCCACCTCTTGGAGCACCACAAAGCCTCAGATGCCCTCCGTTTCCCTTGCTCCACTACCTTCGCTCACGCCCGCTCCCTCGTCCTCAACATTGTTTCCCGCCCCTCGCTCTGTTTCTCCTCTTTCCTCATTCGCCTCTCCCTCTCATGTTCGTTCATCATCATTCCTCCCCGTCCCTCCCCTTCATTTGTCCATTTTCTCCGCAGGAACCCACTGGCGACTCCAGCTCGCCCAAGCTCGTGCCGTCGTCTTTCCCTACAGCGACACAGGCGGAGTGGCAGAGGCTGGCTGGGGGCCAGGGAACGCCAGGAGATCGGTGGGAAGTCTGACGCAGGCAGGGAGCGTCTTCTCTTCCCAATTGGAGGGAGGAGGATGACAGCAAGGAGAAGGGGGGAGGGAAGGGGGAGTACGAGTAGGCGAAAACTGGGAGGAGTAGGAGGAGGTGAGGAGGAGGAGGAGGAGGAGGCGAGAAGGGGAAGGAGCTCCTCCTCGTTCCTCCGATCCGCCACCTGGCGCTCCATCGCTCATGATCCCTCCTCGTTCCTCCCTCCCCTCGTCTCTCTTCCTGCCCCCCTCCGCCCCGCTTCATTGCCTGGGTTGGGGCCGCGGTGTTTGTGTCGCCGCTGGGCGGGGCGGCATATCATGTGTATATTTCATATTCTTTCAAAACATAAGCGCTCTAACAAAACAAATGTGTATATATCAGACAAATGAATACCGGCCCCTGGTCCCACACCTCCCCGCCACATCTCGGGAACGCTCCCAGTACCGCTCCCCCGGCCTTTCTTGGGAGCCTCCACAGCGCTCCAGAAGGGCCCAAAACGCCTCCCAGGAGCCCACAGAATGCGAAAGGATGGGCCCTAGACGCTCCCAAGCAGCACAAGTCATCCTTCCGACGGCTCTTGAGGCTCCCAGGTGGCCTCCAAGAGACCCCAAGAGAGGTCCGAGAGGCGTCCCGGGACAGCCCGAAGAGGCCAAAATCGTAGATTGCTTGTTGTTTTTGTCAATGGTTTTGGCCTCTCGCGTTTTCGAGCTTCCAACGGTCCAAGAGCGCCGAAGAGGCTCCCAAGACCACCCAAAAGACCCTCAGGACGGCCCCAAGACGGGTCAAGAAGGCTTCAAGACTGCCGAAGAGGCGCCCAGGACAGCCCCAGGCCACCCCAGAACAAGCCCAAGATGGGCCCAAGAGCGGGAGCAGGAGGCTTCCAGAGACCTCCGAGAGGCCTCCGGGACCACCCAGAGGCCCCCAACACACCCCCGATCCCTGAGAGGCCCCCAACAGACCCCGACGAGGCTCCAAGAACAGCCCAAGAGAGCTGCGAGAGCCGTCCCGAGAGAGCCCAAAGAGGGTAAAATCTGTGATTTCCAATGGTTTTTCTAATGTTGTTCGCCTTCTCACGTTTTCCCGCTTCCAACCCTCAAATATCGAGACTTTTGGGAAAAAAGGGAATTCAAAGAATTCCTTTTTCTTTCAAAGTGGAACTCCTACTCGGGGGTCCCACACATCCCCAAGACGGGTCAAGAAGGCTTCAAGACTGCCGAAGAGGCGCCCAGGACAGCCCCAGGCCACCCCAGAACAAGCCCAAGATGGGCCCAAGAGCGGGAGCAGGAGGCTTCCAGAGACCTCCGAGAGGCCTCCGGGACCACCCAGAGGCCCCCAACACACCCCCGATCCCTGAGAGGCCCCCAACAGACCCCGACGAGGCTCCAAGAACAGCCCAAGAGAGCTGCGAGAGCCGTCCCGAGAGAGCCCAAAGAGGGTAAAATCTGTGATTTCCAATGGTTTTTCTAATGTTGTTCGCCTTCTCACGTTTTCCCGCTTCCAACCCTCAAATATCGAGACTTTTGGGAAAAAAGGGAATTCAAAGAATTCCTTTTTCTTTCAAAGTGGAACTCCTACTCGGGGGTCCCACACATCCCCTGACATCTTGCCGGTACCGCGCCTCCCGGCTTCTTGGGGAGACCCCAAGATGCCGAAGAACAGCCCATGACGACCCCAAGAAGCTCCCAGAACGGAAAGAACGGCCCAAGACGCTCCCAAGCAGTCCAAAACACCCTGTGGGCGGCTCTCCACGCTCCCAGGAGGCCTCCAAAGGGCCCCAAGAGATGTCAAGGCGTCCCGGGAAAGCCCGAAGAGGCCAAAATCGTCGATTTTGATTGTTTTTTGTATGGTTTTGGCCTTCCCGCGTTTTCGAGCTTCCAACGGTCCAAGACCACCCCAAGACCGCCCAAAAGACTCCCAGGACGGGTCCAAGACGGGCCAAGAAACCCTCAAAATTGCCGAAGAGGCGCCCAGTACCGCGCCCCCCGGCCTCCCAGGGAGCTTCCAAAACGCTCCAGGACGCCCCAAGACAGCCCCGATGAACCCCTCAGAATGCAAAAGGACAGCCGAAGATGCTCTCAAGCAGTCCAAAACAGTCTGTGGACGACTCTCCACTCTCCCAGGAGGCCTCCAGACGACTCCAAGACACTGCAAGAGAACTCCGAGAGACGTCCCGAGAGAGCCCGCAGAGCAACACAAATCATTGAATTTCAATGTGTTTCCGAAGTTGTTGATTTTCTCAATTTTTCATGCTTCTAACGCTCAGAGACGACCGAAAAGACTCCCAAGACCGCCCAAGACCGCCCAAAAGCCTCCCAAGACAAGCTCAAGGCGGGCCCTGGACGGACCCGTTGCCACAATGGCCCCCGGCCATCTCAGAGACCGACACAAGCAGCCCCGCTTGGAGGCACTCTTCAGCCACTCTAGAGCTATCGTTGAGGCTCAAAGGGCTCATTCTTGAGCCCTCTCTTCGGGGCTCCTTGGGTCCCCCCCCGAGTCCTCTGTCGCCTTCTCGATGGCCGACCCAAGGGGCCCCGCATGGAAGCTTTCTTGGATCCCTCCTCCTGGAGTCATCATTGGGCCATCTGTGGGCCCCCTCTTCATGGCTCCTTGTGTCTGCTCTCGAAACGGCCGTCAGTTCGCCGACGACTGACCCGAGGAGCTCCGCTTGAAGGCCCTCTTGGGTTGCTCTTGACGCCATCCTTGGACCTCATGGCGCCGTACTTGGCCCCTCTCTTCGAGGCCTCTTAGGCTCTCTGCCAGACCCCCCTTCGGCTTATCGGGGACCGACCCAAGGAACCCCGCCAGGAAGCCGTCTTGTACTCCTCCCTAGGGGGTCCTGAAGCCCCAGACCCCTGAGGGGCCCGGCTAGAAAAACACTTGAGGCATCCAAGAAAAGCCCAAGAGAGCTGCGAGAGCCGTCCTGAGAGAGACCAAAGAGGGTAAAATATTTGATTTCCAATGTTTTTTTCTAATGTTGTTCGACTTCTCACGTTTTCCCGCTTCCAACCCTCGAAGATCGAGGAGTTTGAGAAAAAAAAGGAATTCCCAGAATTCCTTCTTCTTCTTTTTTTTGAAAGTGGACTCCTCGGAGATCCCACACATCCCCTGACATCTGGCCGGTACCGCGCCTCCCGGCTTCCCCGAGGGCCTGCAATACGCCCAAGGACAGCCCATGACGACCCCAAGAAGCTCCCAGAACGTAAAGAACGGCCCAACACGCTCCCGCGCAGCCCGAGGCACACTTCCGACGGCTCTCCAGGCCTCCAGGAGGCCTCCAGAACCCCCAGGGGCTCCGGAAGATCCCACACCCCTGAGGGGCCCGGCTAACAAAACCCGCGATGCACAAACAAGAAACAGCGCCGAACAGAGCCGGGGAACTGGGAAAAATGGAAATTCACAATTCCTTCTCTTTTTCCAAGGTTGGCCCCTGGTCTACTCTTGCACAGCAAACCACAATTCAGACCCCCCGCATCTCCCAAAAAAGAACCCAGGAAGCCTTTGAGGGCCCCAAATCGTTGATCACCTAAAGGAAATGAATGATTTCTGCGTTTCCGCACTTCCCCTTCTATACGATTCCGAGGCTTGCGCAGTGCCTCCAAGGGAGTCAGTGGACGCAAAAAGCGACCAAACTGATATTACATGTGTTAACCTATCAAGCCTATCTAGAACTTGAGCGCGCGCGAAGCGCGCGCGATGGTTGTAGTCTATATATATATATATATATAGATCGAGAAAGAGAGAGAGAGAGAGAGAGAGAGAGAGAGAACGAGAGAGAACGAGAGAGAGAGAGAGATGCATACACTCAACCCGTATAATTAGGATGCGCGACAGGTATGCAAGGGCTTTGCCACGTCGACACTTTGCGGGCGGGGCGGCCAGCGAAAGCGGCCAAGGATGGACCGAAGGGGAGGATGCAAGGGTAAGTTTGGAAAATCGCTCATCCTGAGTATGCGGGTTGACTGTACTTCCAAGATTTGAGCGTGACGCTCCATTATTGTGGTCCTCCACCTTCCCGTTTCGATCCGTCTCCCAGCTCGGGAAGGCCCTCAAAGCCTCCTGCGGCGCCGCTTGTCGGATGCTCCCGACCGCCCAGTTGTCCTTGGAAGAAGGTTGGTACGACGGGGCACAAGGTTTTAAGCGTTGAGTTGCAGCCCGATTTGGGGGATCTCCTGCTCGAGGGGGTGGAGCGTGAGCTGGCTGCCCGATGGGACCATGTCGTGTTCAGGGCGCAGGCCTACGTTGGCAGCGCTGCACCTCCCGAGGGCAGAATGAAACAGCGGGCCTGGCCCCCTCCCCCCCAAAAAGGCGCAACTATACAGACCCCACCTACCAGGCGTGGGCCACCGCGCTTGTATGGGCCAGGCATCTTGCCTACATGAAGCAGGTACTGACCGCTGAAGTTCAGAAGCTCGAGCGAAGCAGTATCCTCTGCGAGCTCATGTCGGCTCAATGTAACAAGCTGTTTGAAGCGTTGCAGGACTTCGCCAATTGTATGGCCATTGTTAAGCGATGCGCCCGAATTATTGTCCAGTCGTGATGATAGAACGGAGAATAGATTCTAGACGCTCCGCGTAACCCCACCAGCTTGTCCCTGGCATGTGCATACGCCACTGCGGCCAATTTACATCGTACCGCGCCCCGGACGTTGTGCCCGCTCCCTGTCCCTCGCCTTGGAGCCGCGAACCAAAAAAAGTAACCCCACCAGCGACCTGCAGTGCGACCTTGGGTCCCCCCCCCAGGTCTCCCCCTGGCCTCAGGTGACCCCCCCCGGCGCTCAGCTCCGCCCCCTCGGGCCCTGCGGAGACTCCAGAGTTCCCCCCCAGCAGGCCACTGACCTACGCGGGCGGTGGGGATGGACAACGCCCGCGTGCAGCGACACTCCCATCCAGCCAGGCAACGGTACCTCATACCATCCTGCGGCTGTTTGCTGCAACCCCGCCGAGCTTCGGCACGACCAG